ATACTGTCAAACTGGAGACTCATGACGAATGAGGACAAATTGAAGATAGATGAGGACAAAACGTGGAAATATGAGGACAAAACGTGGACAAATGAGGACAAAACTGGACAAAATGTGGAAATATGTGGATAAAACGTGGACAAATGTGGACAAAACGTGGACAAATGAGGACAAAACGTGGACAAAAATGGACAAATGTGGACAAATGTGGACATAATACAATAGAGAATCAGCAACATCTGCATATTTTTACATCAAAAAAGATGATTTTTATCACATACCTGTTGAATCTTGTTATAGTAATACAAGCAATTTTTTCAGACCATGAAATACAACGTTTTGTATTGCACATGCGAACTGAAAAGTTCTCGGTATTCGCAAAAAAATATCAAAGTTTATAAAATCTTTGTATCGATCTCTACCAAATACGGAAGTTATGTGATAAAAGCTAAACCACACACTCATTTATTGCGCGGACGTATATATTCACTCGTGAGCTCCGCGCGCGCACTCGGGAATATATTCGCACGCGCAATAAACTCGTGCTTTCTGATTCGTTAGAAAAAGCTTATACAACCCATCCAGCCTCCTTCACCAACGCCTGCACATATACAGCAACAGAAAAGAGAAAAAAAAGAATGACAGACAATCAGTAACAACGGGGACCGCATCAAGAAACAGCACAGACAACGCATGTACAGACCAAGACAAGCACATAATATACACACCAGCACACTACCCTGTAAGTATATTATTCGAATAGATGTTTGCCCTCAGTCTTCTGGAAGAGGGATGAAGAAAGAAGAAAAAGACGACAAGAAATCAGGACCATAAGACCTGTTTTTTTGTTGTTGTTGTTGTTGTTGTTGTTGAGTAAATGTACATTGAAATGCGATTTTCTTTTTCTGTGGTGAAGCGCTGTTTCCTCCCCCCCCCCCCCCCCCCCGTCTTGCAAGGGTTCGCAGGTCGACATAGCAGTGGTGAGAAAGCCCTGTAGAGAATACCTGAAATCAGAAGGCAAAAGGCTGAAACAGGGGAGATGATTCCGTAGGTAACGTGAAATTGATGATATCAGACACAATACACACAACATGATGATATCATGTGGAGGGGGGCGTAGGTTAAGGCGGTTGCTTTAAGGCCGCCATCTTGGATCAATATGGCGGATTTCCTTAGCAACGTGTCCCCCCCCCCCCCCCCCCCCCCCCCCTTCCATGTATTCATCAATTCTACTGTAAATTATGTTACATTGTTCACACCAGTGATATGGGCGGCTCGAGGAAGTTGAAATTGTTATTCCATGTGTGTGTATCTACATTTACATTTCTACTGCAAAATCGAAGGCTCAGTGTGCTCGTTGATGAGACACATCAGTGAAAAAAATCTCGCGGTCCTGTAACGGTAAAATTGAATTGCTTTGAAGTTGGGTACCGCTCCTTTGTAATCTGTAAAGGACAGAGATCAGCCTAGCGATTGGTCAGGTTTTATTTTTACCTGAAACCAATCAAATGTCTATCTTCGTGTGTTCAATTTTGCGATGACATATTCCAGGGTCCGTTTTTATGAAACCGTTCTCATGCTCAAGCATGGATTCTATGCTCAAACCAGTTTTCTTGTAACTCAATTAAATCATGTCAAACGATTAAAAAGTCGAATGTAAACATTGAAAACCGTATTTGGCTTAAGGTTTCTTCAATTTGTTTCCAAATTATTGGTAATATTAGATTTTATTATTATTTTACAAACGGAACAAGAAATCGTTAGGCTTGAGCACAAAATCCATGCTTGTAACTCAATAAAATCATGTCAAACGATTAAAAAGTCGAATGTAAACATTGAAAACCGTATTTGGCTTAAAGTTTCTTCAATTTGTTTCCAAATTATTAGTAATATTAGATTTTATTATTATTTTACAAACGGAACAAGAAATCGTTAGGCTTGAGTACAAAATCCATGCTTGAGCATGAGAACGGTTTCATGAATACGGGCCCAGTGGTGCAGAGAGCGTAAGTGAGTGTAGCCCTTGGAGTATCGGGGATATGTAATTCGTTTTTGGCATGTTGCATCACCGAATGTTATCATGATGCACTGATTGCACTCGTGTGGGTGGTAGGTGTGCGTGTCTGTAAGTGTGTCCGAAGTGAATTGGAAACATGTACATACCTCAATTCAATTTAATACATCACTCAAATCATTATTTAAGTCATTTACCTCACCACGCAGCGCAAACAAAAATACACGCACTCATGCTTGCTCTTNGTGTGTGTGTGTGTGTGTGTGTGTGTGTGTGTGTGTGTGTGTGTGTGTGTGTGTGTGTGTGTGTGTGTGTGTGTTTGTTTGTGTGTGTCTGTGTGTGTCTGTGTGTGTTTGTGTGTGTGTGTGTGTGCGGGTGCGTGTGTGTTATGTTCATCTATAGTTAGAATAATAATTAGCTGTTTGGCAACTGTCACTCCTCCGTCTGTTTTGGTGAAGCCAGTTGAGCTTTAATGTGAAATAGTGAAAAGGACATGAATTGTTGTGCCTTTTCCGTCCTTACAATATTCTGGCTGGACTTTACCTATTAGCTCCACTACGAGCAACAGTTTGACTACATTCGCGTAACCAGTTGAAACGGTTGAACCGGTTGAACTTGTAAAGAAAACGACAGGTACAGATATGGACCAAGGCTGACCTTAGGGCTACATTCGCGTATCCCGGTTGAAACGGTACGTGTGGCGCAGAAATTTTCCACGATAAACGAACACACTTGGACCGTTCTATAAGCAGAGCTAAAAATCCACAGTTTCGGAGAATAAAAAACAATGTATCAAGAATATTATATCCTTCTCTCACGCGTCCACTAAATTACATAACGTATGTTAAAAATTACATGTGACTTGACATTGTTTAAGAAAGAAATAACGCAAATTGGCAATAGTCAGCATTTTAGTTTCGGTCAGGTACGTCTGGACCCCTCAATCTACACGTACCAAATTTTCCTGAGGTCAGCCTCGGTCCAAATCTGTACCTGTCGTTTTCTTTACAGGTTCAACCGGTTCAACCGTTTCAACCGGATACGCGAATGTACCCCAGGAAAATTTGGTACGTGTAGATTGAGGAGTCCAGACGTACCTGACCGAAACTAAAATGCTGACTATTGCCAATTTGAGTTATTTCTTTCTTAAACAATGTCAAGTCACATGTAATTTTTAACATACGTTATGTAATTTAGTGGACGC